CAAACTTATACTAGTGCTTTTTTTTTCCTCACATCGATTGACTAACTGGGCTGTCATGGTAATCATTGGTATTCCTCATCAAGTACAAAACTTATTACAAGTCGCTGATCCAAACGAATCGGAAGTCTCAGTGGATCTACACACTGACCAGCAGAATAACGGGAACGACCGGGACGAAAGGATTCTGACTTACTCATGCCTCGTAACGGATGAATCCGAACATATATTGCTGCTCAATAAAAGAATCTGACAAACAGCTTTTGCTCTCGCCTACTCTAAAATAATTGAATTCATACAGAGAGCAGTTTCTCCGGTGTTGGCCTCTTTTTTGGATTCTTCGTTAAACACTGCTTGATGAAATCGTGGAAGAATGGTGACCTAAAATGAAGCATGTAGAAAAAAAATGAATTCTTACAAATATAATACAACTATCGATCGAATTTGACTATGAAGTCCTTATTAAATGCGATCCGAAGGATTTTTTTTTTTTTTTCATTCGCAATCTAGTGATTCCGAAAGTCCCTCCTACAGGAGATGGTTATGACAGAAAAGTAGAAGGGCCACTGGTACATGACGTAAGATGCATGAACAAGCGGAATAAATGACCACTTGGTGGTCATTTACTTCTTCGAGGCAACATTAAAGTCAGCCACACTATTTCAAATTTATCCCTTTGCTTTCTCCTCCTTCTTTTCTGGTTGTGTGATACTTTCAAACCAATTGAAAACCGAAACACCGACCCAAAAAACAAAAAAAAAGAATCCGGAATTTTTTTGATGTCACCAAGAAGTGGAAGCAAATTTTCATGCCTCCGAATGCTACCTAAAATTTAAAAAAAACACAAAAAACTATTCGAAACTTCAGGCTAGACAACCCAGAAATTACGAAAATGAAAAATGTACTTGCAAACAAAAACAACTGACCATTTGTATCTATCTTTGAGTGTTGGCGGTTTGTAGGAAGACTTTGTCATGAGATACAGCACCTGCATCGGATGCAAATCGAACAGCGGCGGTTGCAATTCGGCCAGCTCGATCGCTGTTATT